TTTAGGTTACAGCACTATCTGTATGATAGTATAAGTGTTTTGAATTCATAATCAAGTCAAAATTAAAGGTGTTCAAGGTGCTTTGGCTGTTTTCCCACAAAAACAATCTAAGACAACTTAGGAAAAGAACTGTTGGCCTCTGGCTCATAATTTTGAGCATCTACTCTGTTTTATATCTCTCTGCCATAGATCAAATGGGCTGCAGTTATTGATTGTATTATGAATGCAATACTGTGATTAGTACAGTTTTCTCCCAGAATCAGAAGCAGTATTAGAGAGTTAGTGATGAGTGCAATGACCTTTTTCATGGAGTTGTTATTTTTAATGTGTCCTATTCTCCCTAGCAATATTGTTTTGCATTTAATTCCTAGATCTCAGAAATTGTGCTTTGACAACAACCCATCCATTACATTTAAGCTTTAAAATAATAGCTACAAGGAATATAAACAATGAAAGGGTGTTACAGAATATGAATTTTGATACCACGAATGCATTTTCCTGTAAACTGCCTTCAGTATCTTTTGGTTATTGAACTGTTTTGGACATAACTGTTACCATCACTAAGACCACCTATTTTTGCCTCTGTAAAATCACCAGATTTGCCACTGTTTTAGCTCGTCTTCTGCTAAAACCCTCACTCACACCTTTATTTCCTCTTAAAAACTTGAACTACTGCAATGCACTCAGTGTTGGTCTCCATATTCTACCCTACACAAACCTGGAGATCATCTAAAATTCTGCTGCCAGTGTCTTTGCTTGCAGCAAATCCCTTTCCTCATCACTGTTCTCTCTCTAACCTACAGTGTCTCTTGCTCAAGCAATTGATATTTATATCCTCTTCTTTGATTTCAAGTCTCCATGGCCTCACTGCTCCCTGTTTCTGTCACCTCTGCTGGTTCCACAAACATATGAGATGTCTGTGCTCCTCCAATACTGGCTTCTTATGCCTCGATTCCTAATTATTATTTCTGAACCATTGTTGGCCCTGCCTTCAATTTCCTAGTTTAAAAAAAAACTTCTGGAATACTCTTTCTAACCAAAATGTTGACTCTGCTTTCTTTCCACGGATACTGTCAGACCTACCGAGTTTCTCCAGCAATTTATGTTTTTGTTTATTGTTGTTGATTTGCAAATGTGGAGCATCTTGAAAGGTGTTAGAACATTAACTTGTTGGTTTTGTATTTGATTGTTTTGATTAGAATAAAGAGAACAAAGAACAGTACAGCATAGGAGCAGGCCCTTTAGACCTCTAAGGCTGCGCTGACACAGTTTGCCCTTCCGTACTAAAACTGTCTTCACTTACAGGATCCATATGCCTCTATTCCCTTCCTATTCATGTATTCATCCAGGTGCTTCTTGAAAGCTGCTATTGTATCTGGTTCTACCAACTCCTCTGGCCGTATATTCCAGACACTCACCACTCTTTGTGTGAAAAATGTGCCTCGCACATCTCTTTTAAACTTCCCCCTTTACACCTTGAATCTTTGTCCCCTAGTAATTGACCCCTACACCCTGGGAAAAAGCCTCATACTTTCCACTCTATCGATGCTATTCACAATCTTATAAACTTCTATCAGATTGCCCCTCAACCATCTGCATTCCAGTGAAAACAAACCCAGTCCATCCAACCTTTCTTCATAGTTAAAACCCCTCATACCAGACAACATCCTGATAAACCTTTTCTATACCCTCTCCAAAGCACGTACATCCTGCTGGTAGTGTGGTGACCAGAATTGTATGCAATATTCCAAGTGTACCCTAACTAAAGTTCTATAAAGCTGCAGCATAACTTGTCTATCCTTATACTCAGTGCCCCTTCCAATGAAGGCAAGCATGCCATTGGCCTTTTTTACCACCTTATCTACCTGCGCTGCCACCTTCAGTGATCTATGGACCTGCACACCCAGATTCCTCTGCATATCAATACTTGTGCAGGTGCTGCCATTCATTTATAATTTCCACCTGTACTTGACCTTCCAAAATGCATCACCTCACATTCATCTAGATTAAACTCCACCTGCCATTTTTCTGCCCATGCCTCCACCTGATCTATATTCTGCTGTATCCTCTGACAATCCACCTTATTATCTGCAACTCAACCAATCTTTGTATTGTCCACAAACTTACCAATCAGACCAGCCGTGTTTTCCTTCAAATCACTTACGTAGACCACAAACAACAGAGGCCCCAGTATTGATCCCTGTGGAACAACACTTCATTCTGAAAAGCATCCTTCCACTGCTTTCCTCTGTCTCCTATGACTAAGCAAGTTCTGTATTCATCTTGCCAGCTCACTCCTGATACCATATGGCTTCACCTTTTGTACAAGCCTGCCATGAGGGACCTTATCGAAGGCTTTACTGAAATCTATGTAGACAACATCAATCATCTTCATCACCTCCTCAAAAAACTCAATCAAGTTAGTGAGGCACGACCTCCCCTGCACAAAAGCATGCTGTTTATCGCTAATCAGTCTGTTTCCTTCTAAATGCCAATAGATCTTGTCCCTGAGAAATTTTTCCAATAATTTTCCTACCACTGACGTGAGACTCACAGGTCTGTAATTTCAAGGATCATCCCTGTTACCCTTTTTAAACAATAGGACAACATTAGGGGCGGCACAATGGCTCAGTGGTTAACAATGCTGCCTCACAGCACCAGGGACCCGGTTCAATTCCACCCTCAGGCAACTGTCTGTGTGGAATTTGCACATTCTCCCCGTGTCTGCGTGGGTTTCCTCCGGGTGCTCCGGTTTCCTCCCACAGTCCAAAGGTGTGCAGGTTTGGTGGATTGGCCATGCTAAATTACCCCTAGTGTTCAGGGATGTGTAGATTAGGTGGGTTATAGGGGGATGGGTCTGGGTGGGATGTTCCAGTGGTCAGTGTGGACTTGTTGGGCGAAGGGCCTGTTTCCACACTGTACGGATTCTATGATTCTATGATTGGCTATTCTCCAATCCTCTGGGACCTCATCTGTGGCCTAAGAGGATACAAAGATGTCTGTCAATGCTCCAGCAATTTGTTCCCTTGCCTCCCTCAATATTCTGGGATAAATCCCATCAGAATCCGGTGACTTATCTATCTTAATAGTTTTTAAGAAGCACAACTGCTCTTCCTTTTCAATAATAACTTGGCTTAGAAATTCGACATTCCCTTTCCCAAGATCATCCTGCGCCAATTCCTTCTGTTTGGTGAATACTGATACAAAGTATTCATTTAAAATCTCAATCAAGTCTTCTGGGTCCATAAATACATTCCCTCCTTTGTCCTCAAGTGGACCAACCTTTCCCTGGTTACCCTCTTGCTTTTTATATATGTATAAAAAGCCTTCAGATTCTCTTTAATTCTGTTTGCTAATGACTTTTCATCACCCCTTTATTCCTTCTAATTCCTTGCTTAAGTTCTTCTCTACTTATATTCTTCTAGGGTTTTGGTAGTTCCCATCCTCCTAGACCTTACGTATGCCTCCTTTTCCTTTTTTGACAAAGGTCATAACATCCCTCGTTATCCAGGGTTCATGTAACTTGCTGTACCTGTCGTCCACTCTCGCAGGAATGTGCCGCTCCTGAACTCTTAGTAACTGCCGTTTGAAATACTCCCACATGTCCAATGTGGATTTACCCTCAAACAGCCACCTCCAATCAACACTCTCCAGTTCCTGCCTTATATTGTTGTAGTTTGACTTGTCCCGATTTAACACCTTCACCCAAGGACTGCTGTTATCCTTATCCATATTTTGTTCAATCACAAGGCAGTGAGGGATCATAAGGTTATTGGTGGGTGCATGAATCCAATAGACTGGTTGTGACGATACATACTTTTATGACTATATATATGACAATATATAAGAGGGATTTGTTATCTTGATTCTCTTGAAGACGGGTGTTGTAAACCTGATGCTGAGGTGTCTGCTCCATGGAAAGCAGAGTAAATAGCTTTGGGTTCTTTTCACATTAGACAAAAGAAGCATAAGTGGGTGGAGTCTGGCTCACACAGACCCAGGGTTTTAGTTTTGATTTCAGTTATTGAAATTGGGATTTTTAGAGTTGAAGCTGCTAGATATAGCTCTCTCGCTGCTACTACAAAAGCTTGAGTTCTGTCTCTGCTACTAGGTTCATTCTGTTGGTGTTCCTTGTCTTGGACTGGAGGAAGTAGCAAGTGAGGCAAACCTGTTTTGCTGAATTTGCCTTTGCCAAGGGTGTGTTTGTGGGATGCTGCTATGTTGGAACAGTTGATGAGTAGTAGTTAAATAAATATTATTTTCTCAAACATTTCAATAGAGTTAAAATTATACCAGTTCTATTTTTGTTTATATTTTAACTGTTGTAAGAATAGTGTGTTTTGCTTGAAGCCTAATACTTTGACCAATTGAATCACATCTGGAACACAGCGCTTTGTACTTGCCTTAAAGAAGATAAAAATTAGGGTCTAGGATACCTCCTTAATATGCTTTAAGGAGGTTAGGCCTGGCCCATAACATTGGATTGGTGATCAAAGTTGGATGTGTCCAAAAATAAGGTAGATCCAATTGTGGGGAGGTTTCAGTGATTGCAAGGTTAAGGGGGTTCCATATGTGGAGTAGGTTGGTGAAAGGTACAGGATGTGTCTGGCGATGCAAAACGTCTTTTTTACATTGTAGTGCCATCATTATATTTGTTCACATACACACTATTTTGTGACATTATATTATGTAACCAATAACTCTCTGTTGAATATAGTTAATTGTTTTGATTTTCTTTTGAACTATCTTTATTGAAGAGATAAAATTTTAGATCAGTCCTTAAGTTTCTAGTATTTAAAATTGTGACACTCATCATGTCCTTTTTATATATGGGGTTTAGTTTGGGTTGAGTTGGGTCAAATTGTGCCAAAGAACAGTAACAAATCAACTTATGCAACGGCAAGGTTTTATCAAAAACTTACTTTTAGTATTAAAGTAAACCACTGTGCTGAGATTTAGGATACTGCATTGAGCATATCAGTTGAAATAATTATCACTGTTTTACAGTTTGTGGCTCTGATTTGGCACAAGCAAACTTCTTCTACAAAAATGGAGAATATATCTGCACATTGGATTATCAACGAATGTATGGAACTCGTTGTGACAGTTGTGGAGACTTCATTGGTGGAGAGGTGATCTCAGCTCTGGGGAGGACATTTCATCCGAAGTGCTTTGTCTGCACAGCCTGCAGGTAATTTGAAGAAGAAATTGATACTAAGCATGATTATAAAATTTCTTCAATAGGATTAACAAGCTGTGTTTTTACAGCTTGACAGTCCAAATAGGAAAGAAGAACTGAATATTAACAATTTAAAACCAATGTTAAACAACACTTAAGTGTTATAGTTAGATCCTATCTGCCCCTTCCCTTTACATTCTCTGGCGTTGTATTTCCTTGTAACCTTCTTCCAATTCTAATCAAAATGGAAGCAACCTGTTAACTGGCAGAATAGAAACAGCCCAATGACAATGATGTTGCGTCCTTAGGAGAAGCTTGTGTTTCTGTTGAGAAAGCGGTGGACAGCTGTCTCCCTAAATTCTGCCACCTGATTGATGGTCATATGGATCAGCATGCTGACAGTAATTGCTTTTAGTCTGCAAGGAAGCTGTGATATAGAGGTTGGAGGTCACTGGTAGTGTTGTATATGCCCTAGTGCTTTCGTCCAAATTGTGCTGCAACATGTCAGTAGCTGCCTACCTGCCGAAGCGCAGTGTCCTCAAATACTGTTTCCCTATCATGTTTTAAATGCATGTCTGTCATTTCTAGCATTCCTGCAGCCTTTGGAGTGACAGAATATGCTGCAACAGTTTTCCAAACTCAGACAACTTACACGATCTTCCCTAACAGAGGTGGGATTCCTATTGATTATCAGTGCTTCCCCTGCTTCATGAGAGCTTGCACCAGTTGTTTTGTCTGGAAGTGCTTCAAAGTCACCAAATGAAACCCTCCCGAGCACCAAATTCTGAAAGCTCCTAATTCATATTCGTATTTACCGATTTTAATCAATCCTGAAGTCATTTCAGACAGTTTTCAGAGACACCTAGGAATTGAGATTCATAGAAGTGATTGGTTCATAGAATCCCTACGGTGTGGCAGCAGGCCATTTGGCCCATCCAGTCTACACTGACGCTCTAAAGAGCATCCCACTCAGACCCAAACCCATACCTTATCCCTGTAACCCTACATTTCCCATGGCTAATCCACCTAACCTTCACATCCCGTGGATACTATGGGTAATTTAGCATGGCCAATCCACTTAACCTGCAAATTTTTGGACTGTGGGAGGAAACTGAAGCACCCAGAGGAAACCCACAGAGACACGGAGAGAATTTGCAAATTCCACACAGATTCGCCTAAGGGTGGAATCATACCTGGGTCCCTGGGGCTGCAAGGCAGCAGTGCTAACCACTGAGACACCATGCCACCCCAGAGTCATCCATATCACCCAAATTACCATCCAGTCTTATTTACGAACAGGCAAGTGACTTATCAATAAAGTATGACGTCCTACTCTAGCGTACTCAGACTCTGTACTTCCTGGCAAATCATCAAATGTCACAACTCCTGATTATTGCATCCAGTGCTTCACACATTTCTTCCTTGTACTCATTAAATTCTTTGTAGTTTGTGGGTGCAGCTGCTATTGCATTGGTAAAGTGACTGCTGAGAACATTTTCCTGTTTTGAGACTGTACTGTCACTAGTTATGTGCAATGTAAAATATTTACATTTTGCCAGTACATATAGACGACTAAACATAACATCTGTGCAAATCATAGAACATTCAATGACAATGACACTTTTAGTGGTTCACTGCTATTTTTACAAGTCCAATGTTCCTCCCAAATAAAAAGCGTCAAAAGTTTCAGGTCGTCGAGGCAAACCACCTGTTGCTTACTGTGATCTTTTTTGTTATGAGTTTTGGTTTTAAACACGAGAGCAGTAAGGATTGAAATACAAGAGCTCCTTTCTCCACCTCCTATTAGAAGTGTGAAAAGATTATTATTTGCAGTTGCATCATGATTAGCCATTACTTTTTCCATCATCACCAATAAAATTGTACGTATTTTAACTGACATTTAGGAGCGTATAATTTAATCAACACATTGGAAAAATAGTTGCAGTGTCAAGCCCTGGGAATATCAGCAATATGAGAGGGCAGCATCATGTAAATCAACAAGCTGTTTCTCAGACGTTTGTGAAAATAAAGAAGAGTAAGGATCTTTTTCTTCTAATTATTAGCTCAGCAACAATAACTTATAAATGGAACTTTATGCAGTATAGTGCAATAGTAGCACTTACTGATTAACTGGATAGTTGCAAAGATATCTATCAAAAGAGATAATGACATATAAGCTCTACAGAGATTCATTGTGGTGAAACACTGAGGTTGCTGCCCAGTGCAGCTGTTTGCTGATATAGCACACAGAAAGCAGCAACAACAGGTGCACCTGTTTCCACAGGAACCGATTTAGCCCTATCACTGCGACAGTTACATAGCACTGAATGAGGCAATGTAATCTAAGCACAAAATCAGTGTGGTTCATTAGAGATGCTGAGTGGAATTTATTAAAAGCACCTCGGATCCCACAGGCAGAGCTGGAGGTGGGCGCCACTTCTGGTTCCATGTAGGGAACTGACTCACACAAATTATAATTAAAAAGCCCAGCAGCGGGCGTGACAGAGATGTCTGATTACTCAACTATGGAAGATGGTCATTGGTGGATCCTGTCATCATGGTGATAAAGCAGCAGGTCTGAAAGGGCTATAAAAGCTGGCTGTAAACACCCCATGGACTGCATAGGTTCAAAACAAAAATTCACTACCATGTCACGGGGCACCAGCCTACCATATCGGGGCTTCCTTTTATAGAATGATTGAGTCATACAACATGGAAACAGACTCTCACTGACCATATTCCCAAACCAAACGAGTTCCACTTGGCTGCGTTTAGCCTATATCCCTCCAAATCTTTCCTATTCATGTACTTATCCAAATGTCTTTTAAATGTTGTAAATGTACCTGCATCTACCACTTCTTCTGGCAGTTCATACCATTTAGCATGCATTCAGGTTGCACTCGGTGTGGTGGTAGCTCCTTTATTGTGAAGGAAGCATGTTCTGAGTTTGCATTCAGTCTTACTTGAATGTTCATATTTGTGTCCAGTTTTGTATCCTATGCTGTGGGACATGCCTGAACATGCACGCTCAGCTGGCCCTTCTTTCTATGTATAATAAAGGAAGTTGTCCAAAAATCACTCAATAGGGATGATTGAATGGTTTAAGGGCATTCACGGCCCTGTAAGGCTGGTACAGGATCTGGATTTTTTATCATGGTTTGCTGATTGATTTATTTCCAATTCCATAGCAGAGTTATTCAGGACCAAAATTCACTAGCAAAAGTATATTTCAAAGGTTTGCTATCATTGCTTTTGTACTAGGTGACGGAGGTAGTTATAAGATGGAGGCTAGCAGATTTTGGGAAACGTTTGGAACAAGCAACAGAGTTCTGGAAATGGCACCATTCGTCATTTAGGTGCCATACTCTTTGGTGAATAAGGTGTATATTAGTTTATGCCTGGTATCCCTTGCACGTCTCCACACGACTCTCGCATTCTGTAAAACCTCATGAACATTCATGGTTTCCTCCTCAAACTCATCCTATTCATCCTCATTTGAGGAGGGATGCTGTTCCCTCCTCTCATTCTGACCCAATAGTTGTGGATATTATGAACTACACAGAGGACCGTGACAATTTGTAGTATCCTCTGTGATGCATAATGCAAAGCCCCACAAGGTAGTGAGAGCGCATCTTTGGCAGGCCAGTGGTTTGCTCAGTGATCGCTTATGTAAAGGCGTGAGCTGCATTGTACCACTTTCCATTGCACTGTAGAGATATCTCACTGTAACCATCCAGCATCATAGGGCATAGCTCTTGTCACCTCGGATCCATCAACCTGTATTGGGGCTTCAAAATGTTCTGAGACCTACAAGTTGTGCAAATTGTCATGAGAGCTGCCTGGGAAATCAGTATAGACAAGCATGGTTCTTTGCCTGAGAGTGTGTGTTCAGAGTGAAAGCCCTCGCAGAGCCATTCAGCACGGAAACAAACCTTTTGGTCCAACCAGTCCACGTTGAACATAATTCCAAACTAAACTAGTTCCACCAGCCTGGTCTGGCCCATATCCCTCCAAATCTTTCTTATTTATGTATTTAACCAAATGTCTTTTAAACGTTGGTTCATTCTATGGTGTTCTAATGACCGCATGAGTGCAATTGATGGCCCCTAGCATTCTACAGAAATGAGGAATGGGCACTGAGGCGTTATCTGCTTGTCACTTGGCTGGCTTAATCTGTAGAATAATTGATGAATTCAGTTGAATTGGCCACTGTCTTTATGAACCTGTGTGTGGCAGACTAGGAAATGCCACACATGCTGCCTGTGGTGCCTTGGATAAAACAGCTAGTGATAAAACTGAGCTGTGCAGTGATATGGTTCCCATAAATTCACATAGCTCTACATTTTGCTGTAGGATCCCACATAGCTATATGACTGATTCCCGAGACAGCCTCCACCATCCCTGGCATCACCTGTTAGTCCTCACTGACAGAAGTGCCTCTCTTCTAATGATGCCTTCCCTTCCGATACTAACTTCTGCTCTAGTTGACAGCAGCCCTCCTTTGTCACATTATGTTCTGCTGCTCCTGAAACTGCAAAAATATTGGATGTATCAGATCTATAGTGAATCCACCAAAACAACTGTATGAAGAAGGAAGTCAGTGGTACGAGCAACTGTGCTCACAGCATTAATGCAGCTGCTAAGCAACGAGATGTTCAAAATTTCCAAATGGGCACATTCAAAATTTTTGCCACCCTCACATTGTCATCGACTGACTTGGATCTGGACTTGTGCCAGCTTAACTGTAAATTTGGAACAATGGTCTGCACAAGATCAAGAATCACCTTCCACATGGAACCTATCACCATCCACCCTCCTCCTGTCACCAGGAATTTGCATTGATCATCCTTGGCTCACCGAACATGCAACTTCCCTCCATTACCCTTGATCCTGTGGATGTGCCATCTCTCCCTTTGGCTCTGTCCCTCTCACCGTAGACAATTCTCCTCTTATCCTAGTCCCTTCCCTTATTAGAATTGATATGTCCTTACAATCCACTGACATGTCCTTTG